CGGTCTCTTCCCCGTGCATGCACGCTGGTGTCCTCGTGGGTCCAGGAGGGGTGCGTAGAGGGACTCCCGTGCCGCCAGAGTCGTGAGCTGCCGAACCCGCAGTCCGGACGAGAACCGCACCTGTTACACGGCCATCGGGCAAGGATGCTGGGCCGTCTAGTCCCTTCAAGCGCCGTGGGCAGAGAGAAGGACGAAGCCGCTGATAGAAGCCACCGCCCTTCGCGCCCCGGACCGGAGAGGGGAGCGCGTGCGGCCGCCGGACTACGCCCCTTACCTGGACCCTTCCTTCCTAACCACTGCCCTTCCCTTCACGAACCCCGCAGCACGACGAGGACACCAGATCCCCTGTTTATTTTGGACACTCGATTCCCTTTTTTCTGGACACTTTGTTTATTTTCTGTTAATAAACGGTGTCTGTTGTTTGCTCCTCCCGCGACAACACACCCATTAACGTAAACTACGCTAGAGCGCGTACACACCTCACGCACCGGAAGTCGTACGCGTGCTCAAAGCAGTTGGACATAGTGGTGAATTACAGGTAAAAAATTATATAAATACTGTTCGGTTTCTGGCACAAACCGATCGTTTAGTGTGTTGGGACATCAGTGTGTCGTCACGAGACGCAGGGTTTAATTTGGATTTGTCTGCATGTTTTTTTTTACACTCATAGACTTTGTTACCATTGCCATGCATTATACGACTGATAGACTGCAACGGCTGGAGTTAAAAATCATCAAATGTGTTCTACTGAAGAAACAGTCACCTACATCTTGGATGCCCTGGGGGTAAGCAGATAAACATCAAATTTTCATTTTTGGGTGAACTATCCCTTTAACGCAGGTGTCAGTTCCGATCCGCCTGTATTTGAGTTCTGGATCTGGAATGACAGGTGAGACCCATCACGTGACCAAACATCACTCATATTAATGACGCTCCGTGACGTTCACCCAACAGACCTTATTGATTGGCTGAAAGAGAGACGGCCCCTGAAAAGCTTAGCTCATGAATATTAACTACTCTGTGTTTGTACAAACACAGTGGAATGGTATTTCAAATGTGTTAATTACAATCTTCTTCACAACTGTCACAGTAATGCCTTTAGAGAGTGCCAAATTATGCAGCTGCGAGTATTATTAAACACATTTTTCACGACATTTGAATAATGCACTGAGATTTCAGTCACCACTGAAAACACCAGGAGTTATAAAAAGAGAACAATTCAGTGAAGAAAAGTTGCATAATATTCTAGGATAATCTAAGCACGGTATGATTTATTTAATAAATGTATCAGTTTCACTGCTACAAGGATGTGGGTACTTAAACATTTCACAACAGTTAACAAGAACTACCAATTCATTTTTATTAAGAATAAAGTGACGGCATAATGAAGAACTGACATTATCATTGTCTAACATCAAACATGATGAAAAAAATGTCTGAAAAGATTCATGAATTCACTATACATAATTTATGCATGTCAATTTTAATACGTTACATGTGCAGATGGTAATGTATACAGCCTTGTTGTGTTCCCAATCACAAACTCAATCGTGTGAGATACTTGTACTTCTGTAAAAGGATTCTTAACTAACAGAAAATACATAATCTATGTGCCAAAACAATTAGCAGTAATGCTAAACACAAGCCTAGTACAACGAAGGCAAGAAAATAGAAATAAATAAAGAATTAAAAAGAGATCTTATAATAGGCTATTAAAAGTAAAATCTTTACTATTATAGTAAAATATACAGTGTTACAAAAGGTATAATGTTCTAAAATATATTCTCATTTCTCATCA